TGTCATAGTTGCACATCCTTCTAGTTGCTGTATGTGGGACGCGGCCTCAGCATGGCCGGAGAAGCAGTGCATTGGTGCGCGCCCGGGATCCGAACCCGGGCCGCCAGTAGCGGAGTGTGCGCACTTAACCACTAAGCCACCGGGCCGGCACTCTCTTCCTTATACAGACTTTTACATTTTGAAAATTTTTTTTCAAAAAAAATATATACAACTTCTGATAATTGGCATTTCTATAAGCAAGCAAACTGTTAACCATTATTATGATAGTTCACAGTTCATGATGCACTTTTAAATATATTATCTCATTTGATTCTAGAAAAAGCTCAGCTAAGTGTTACCTTCATAATGAATTAATGAATTAGGAAAAAAAGAAAGAAGAGTAAAGAAGAGAAAGGAGCTCTTCAATTCTTAATGGTAACTTTAAAGACCCTTAAGAGTCTGGGGACATCCGGTTGAAAACCACAGATTTTAGGAATATATTCTTCACCCTTTCCTTTTGGGGAGGGAGAGAGGAGAGAGAATTATCATTTTTGAACATTTATTCTGTGCCAGAAATTTGTCTTAGGCAAGACAAGCCTTATATTTAATGGCTACCTTCGTTACTTTCTAGGTGTTTTATGGGTGTCATGAGAGATACTTCACAACGTTTCTGTACAAATCCACATACATTCTCATGAATGGAAAATGGGCTTATTTATGTTGATAATGATATTGATGAAAATAATAAAAAACAATTATAATAGCTATTGATCATGGAACCACCAATGTTAGCTAGATACTGAATCTCATGGGGTAAAATATATTCTCAAAACCACTCTTCAGTTTTAGAAGGGAAGCCATTTAGTCATCTAGATGGCTAGATGAAACTCTATCCCCTGTGTAGTTTCAGAATAGAGAAACTTGCTAAATCAGCAGAGATTTGGGTAAGTTTGGGTCCATTTATTATAACTGCCCTCTTTATTAATGGGATGGCCTGGTTTAAATCCTTATAAAGTACTTTAGGCCTCTCCTGAATATTCCTAAGTTTTTGTTTTTAAAAAATGAAATGCTTAACAAAAGAAATCAGCTAAAAAAAAAAGAAACCACCTATGAACTTAACTGGAAAATATTGCGTTATCAGTCATTGAGATATTAACATATGTATTATATTCTTTTATTTTTCTCTCCTCCCATTTCCTGCAGAGATCCAGGAGAGGGAGGTTTGTGGCAGAGCTGGAAGTAGAAGCTGTTTGTAGCCAGTAGCTTTTCTATTTTAAAAAGCATTATGTTCCTTGATGAAATCAAGCCAGATGTCCCTGCATGGAAATGGAGGGTATCTGAAGGCAGCAAGAGAAGAGAGGTCGGGGTTTGTGGGTCCTTCCAGTAGCAGAGACATGAGTATTTGTCCATATCAGGACCCAAGGAAGGCTCTGTGATAGGCTCAGGGAAGCTGGGCACCTAGTCTTGCCAAAGATTTCCCTACCCAGAGGGTTGGATGGAAGCAGCATGGACAAGGGATCTGAAGATTCCGTGTCAATTCAGTAAATGAGAATCTCATCCCTAACCAGTGTGGCCAGACATCTTATGACAGTGGGGATCTCTTCAAGCTTTGGTGCTAGATAAGACCATAGGATATTTGTACAGCTAATGGAGAGGGGGAATCCCCAATAATAACTGAAGTGGGTATCCCACCAACATGCTATGGTTGGATCTCAGGGTCATATTTATGTTCATTTAAAAGCAATTTTAAAATGTGATATTTCTAACATGCTCAAGCATGTGAGCTAAGAACCATCTGTTGCTAGCCCTCCTATTCAGAGTTTCAATAACAAAGGAAATAAACCCTTATAGAGTGTTTCACGAGTGTCACGAGTTATTACACAACTGTCCTCTGAATGGATGAGTCCTTCTTAATAACTCTTCTAGTTGGCCAGGCCCTAGGTCCCACAGAGGACATAATAATTCTAAGAATATATGCCAAAGTATGAACTATGGTTATTTCAAGTATGTGTATGCTAGAAATCCCTCATTTATCCCTCTGATCCACTTTACCTCCCTGCTCTGTGTGCCTCAATCTTACCAATACGGACTACGTCAAAGGTCTTCCTTGCCTTTTGGCTTCAAGTTTGGCCAAACGGAAATACCCAGCAGGAGTTAAAAAGGAGGGAAGAGTGAGGTCAGGTATTCCCCGCTCCCCCCATCCTAGATTCTCTCTTCGAGGTCTCTGTGAGCTGAAATGTCTGTGACCTGACTGTATCCTGATCACACCTGCTGTCAGGTGGCCCTTTACACCCAGCTGTCTACCATTCCAGTAACCACTGCCTCCCCTCTCCACCTCACCTGCTCACTCCCACTCCATCCCTCCCCAACTCCCTCTCTTCCTCCTCCCCCACACTCCCTCCTCCCACTCCTTCCCCTCACCCTGCTCCCTCCCCTCCTCTCCTCTTTGCCTAGAGGTAGTAACACCATGTTACTGGCAGAATTGTGTCACCTCCAAATTCACATGTTGAAGTCCTAACCCCCAGTACCTCCAAATGTGACTGTATTTGGAGACAGTCTTTACAGAGGTAATTAAAATGAGGTCATTAGGGTGGGCCCTAAACCAATATGACTGGGTTACTTATAAGAGGAGTTTAGGACACAGAGGAAAAGACCATGTCAAGTTACAGGGAGAAGGCGGCCATCTACAAGCCAAGGAGAGGCCTCAGAAGAAACCAACTCTGCCAACATCTTGATCTTAGACTTCTAGCCTCTAGAACCATGAGAAAATAATTTTTTTTTTGGTGAGGAAGATCAGCCCTGAGCTAACATCCATGCTAATCCTCCTCTTTTTGCTGAGGAAGACTGGCTCTGAGCTAACATCTATTGCCAATCCTCCTTGTTTTTCCCCAAAGCCCCAGTAGATAGTTGTATGTCATAGTTGCACATCCTCCTAGTTGCTGTATGTGGGACGCGGCCTCAGCATGGCAGGAGAAGCAGTGCGTCGGTACATGCCCGGGATCCGAACCCAGGCCGCCAGTAGCGGAGTGCGTGCACTTAACCGCTAAGCCACGGGGCCGACCCAAGAAAATAAATTTCTGTTGTTTAAGGCACTCAGTCTGTGGTACTTTGATGTAGCAGCCCTAGCAAACTAATACACACCATGACCCTACTTCTCTGCTGACAACTTGGGAAAAAATTCTCTATTAAACTCCTCAAACCATCCATTTTGAGTCTCATTTATTTCCTGCTGGGACTCTGACTGATCCAGTAGGAGTATACGTGATTCTTACTTCCATATTTGTTCTTACTGTATTTTTCAAAATTTCTGCAGTAACCACAGAATACTTTTTTTCACTTAAGAAGTAAAAAAACAGTCATGAAACAAAACTTGGTTTGACTGGGAAATTTCCATATAAGATGGATTTATAATCACAGACATCCAACACCATCCCTCTCCTCCACAGATCCCCTACTCTAGGGAATTGTTATGTCCAAGGGATTATAAAAACAGAGGGAACATGACATCAATGCTGGAACTAGGGAAAGCTGCCATCCTTGGCCCAAAACTGGTAAGTATTTCTGATAGATATAATACTGAAGGGGACTGCCCATGCTTCCTCTGGTGGGAAAGAGCAAAGCTCTGCGTAAATGTAAGTGACTGTTACAGTGCCCACTAAATATCTGATTGTACCAGCCCAACTCAGGAGCAAGGAGCATCAGGAACAAAATTGGCTCTTACAAGCAGCACTAGAAAGCAATCCCACCAAGAAGCCACACTGAGAGGGGAGAAGAGAGAACTGGCCTGACAGGGCGTACTCCTGGCTGCCACACAGAAAAGAAAAAGGAATTCTTTCATGAAGAGTCAGAACTCTCTCCTTGGTACCACCTAGATCTTTCCTGAGCCTGCTGACTTGTTAGCCTTGGTAACATTAAAGGCACACTGCAAATTACTTGCTTTGAAATTTAGAAACAAATTTTATTTAAGATCTGAAATACAATTCCTAAAATATCAACTTCTCCAGAAAACCATGGCTACACAATAATGCATTGCCTCTATCATGTTAGAACGTGCATTAGACTCAAATACAAAAACCATGAAACAAACCACCATCCTTCAACAATTTGAGCAAAGATAGAATGCCTAAGGAACAACATAGATGGACTTGCAGAGGATGGGCTGTTTTACTTCAAGCACCATAAAAAAAAAAAAAGAGCACAAATGCATGGGTTTTCGGGTATATACATTAAGTTGAACCTTTGGCACTAGGAATCAGGGCATTTTGTCACGTAGCATTAACACATATTAGAAAATTGTGTAGTGTCAAAGGGATAGAACCACCAGCATTCAAGCAATGTTGTCAACTAGGCAATAAAATGTTCTACTTAATTTTTCTTCTTTGTCTAATTACTGCATACACTGGTAGCAACTTTGAAATGAGAAAAGGAGCTTGTACTCCTTTTATTTTCTGTTGAAAACAAAACAGAAAACAAACTGAAACATAAGCCCTGTTATACGTTAACAATTTTAAAGAACATCAATTATACAAGAAAAAGACTAAGAACAAAAAGAGTGTTTACAGATACCAGACATAACAGTGAGTGGTCAGTAGACCCTCACAGGGCTTTGCGGTGGTACTCAGCCGAAGCCACTTTGTAATCACTGGCAGTAAAGAGAGATGCAGCATTCTTTGCCAGATATTTTAGGAAATCATGCAAATAGCCCAACAATAATGCAAGGCTCTTCTCATCAAGGGGCGTATATGCCAACATTGCTCCGATTCTTACGAATAACCTCAGTAGGTGTGGCGCTCCATAAACCTGGGACATCGGTGCATCAGGGTGAGCCAAGAGGATTTCAGCATACTGGGGCCTCTCAAATTTGTAGAGCAGCTGAGTGCCCAACATCACGTTGAAATATTCTTTTATTCCTGCCACGACTTCATTAACCGCATATTCCTTATTATCAACATTTCCCTGCGATTTCTTGCAATCTGCATACTCTTCCAGAATGGCATCTACATTTTTCTTAGCAGGGAGTTGAAACAGCTGCTTCTGCCTGGTAACTAAGTCCCAGTCCTCAACAAGCCATGGTTTCAATTCTTCAGGAATCTTCACTTTAACTTCCATTCTATTCTTAAACACCTCCTCGCTTTCAACAGTGGGGTCTGCCCGGGCCCTTTTCTTCCGAGGAGGCTGAGGTGCTTCGCTGGTACTGCCACCATCTCCGTTTCCAGGAGTCTTCTGTTTGTTCTTTCTTGTCTTCCTCACAGATCCTGAAGGTGGGTTCTCCGCAGAGCGACCCCCCCACCTGCCTGGGAGAGCCGGTTCCAGATTCTTCTGCTGTGGACCAGCTGTCTTCTTTCCTGAGGAGGCCCCTCTCATCTTACTTCTCTGCATATTGCTTCTAGTTGGTTTTTTGAAGTTGTCTTCTTCTGCAGATTGTTGTCCACGAGTTTGAGAACCCTGCTTTCTGGAACTCATTCACCCCTGTTTTTATTCCAACCACTGTAATATATAAAGTAGTTTACTTGGTTGTTTTCTATGGTGACCTTTAACACACTGTGCTTCATAAAGGTCCATCAAAGCACAACACATGCTACTCTCTTGGAATCTGGATTCCAAATCCTATTTCAGGACCATGTGGAAGTGACTTACTACCTCCTCCCTCTCTCTCTGTTCCTCACTACCACCCACTACTCTCATCCCACCCAATCACTCATCAGACCTGCCCATAAATGAGTTTTTTTGATGCCACTCCAAAGATACGAATATAATTTTAGAGAAAGAATTAAAGGGGAAAGAAACTACAAAAGGCAGTGGAGTTGAAATTCAAGACTCTTGAACAGGAAAAATAACAAGATGAAAGAAATAAGAAAGAGTAATTTAGTTGACTAGAGGCAAAGTGAGTAACAGTGAAGGTTTTTGTAGAAGTCCAGGTAGGCCTGAACTAGGGTGATGACAGAGTCAAGAGAAACTGAATATAGAACTTGGTAAATGAAGGAGAGGGAAGAGTCAAAGGTGGCTCTGCAATTTTAAGCCTGGATAATTAATGAATTAATAAAAGCACTGATTTTTAATGGTTAGTTTGGAATCAGCAATAAAATCATAGGATATAGGTAATTTATCCATTTAGTTAGTCATCATACATTACTGCATATCTGCTTTGGGACAGGTACTATGCTAGGTGTTAGGGAGGGATTCAAATATCTAAAGTGACAATTATAAAACACCAAGGTTAGTACAATGATAGTTATAGGCACAGAATTTTGGGGGAGCAAACAATAAATGGTACATGACACCACTTTCAGCAATAGCTTGTTGGAGAAGGTGATAAACTGGTGAGGGAGGAGTCAGTGATGACTCCCAGGTTTTGAGGATAGATGATTAGGTCATTAGTATTATCATCAAATGAGACTGCATCTAGAGGAGGAAATGGATTAGAGAGGAAAGAAGTTGTTCAGTACTGGATCTAAGTGTAAGGTATGCAGTTAGCTATATGACTTTAAAGCTCAGGTGAGAGGTCAGAGCCAGAAATGGAGATCTGAGAGTAATCATCATACAGCTGGTAGCAGAAACGGTGAGAGCCAAAAAATCATTTGTAGAGAATAGAGGAAGAAAAACTGAACCAAGTATGGAATTCTGGAAAAACTTAAGAAAGAATGATATTTAAGGGGTAAGCAGAGGGAGACCACAAATAAAACAAAAATGGTTAGAGCAGCCATAGGAGAAACAGGAGAATATTATTTTGGAAGACAAAGAAGTTGCGAGTTTCAAGAAGAGAAAGGGATAATCCATAGTGTAAAATGAAGCAGAGAGGGCTAGCAAGATAAAGTTAAAAAATAGTGTTCTATGATTCTTATGTTGTGACAGATGAAAAAATTCCTTTAACTTACACAATCCTCTTCCTTCTTTCCCTTCCAAGAACTCCTAGTGTTTTCCCAGATGGAATCTTATAGATCTTCTGGGATGATCTGGAAGGATGAGGTGGGAGAGACAACCTAGAAAGGAAAGCAGGTATCTGCAATGAAGATGAACTCTTGTGAAATAACATAGGAAAAAGAACAAAATTACCTAATTTATAAACATGTGGTTTACAATTGTGGTATCAGAGAAAATACATTAGTTCTGCTGTTAAACATACTTCTACTTCAATTAGGCTCTGCCATTTATGAGTTGTGACACCTTGGGCAAGATATGTAAGCTCTCTTAGCCTCTTTTTCTCATCTATGGAATGTGGCAAATTCCCCCTAGCCTTCAGAGATTCTTGTTAAGAATTTCATAAATACCATGTGGCTGAAGAGCCAGCATGGTACCTTGCAGGAATACCTGCACACGTAAACACGGATACAAAGATGTTTGTTGCAGTGGTGCTTGTGATACTGAAAAACTGGAAGGAAACACCTAAACATTCTTCAGTAGAGAAATGGTAATGTAAATTATCATGTATGCACACTATGGAAAAACATTCAAATGAATTAAAAGCAGAGATCCATGTACTGACACAGTAAGATGTTCAATATATTAGGTAAATAGGCAGGTTGCATAATACGTACGATAGGATCTTAAAGAGACAGACAGCACAGGTAGAAAAATAAACATCAATCTCAGTTCTTACGCAGTGTGTTCCAATTTCCGTATTTTAAACTGATGTGTGTAAATGCATAGGAAAGTAGATGGATCAATACCAGACTCTTAAAATTGGGGTAACCTCTGGGAAAGAACAAGGGATGATGGTAGACCAGCCTTAAATCAGGTTTCTCTGGTAACTACAACTTTCACCCACAGAAAAAGCCCTTCGGCCAATCTCTAGCTCTTAAGACAATGTGGGCAGGTGTTAGGGAAGCTCTAAGGGGGAAATAAGAGGTAAAAGATGTTAGAAAACTAGAGCCCCGAATCAGAGAAGCCAATTATTGGGAAGAGGCCTGGGTGCTAGCACTTTTTTAAGCAAACGACATCCTCTAATCTGAGCACAAATTAAAGGGCGAAGGTGATCCTCAGAGAGCATCAAAATCTGTGAATACAGACACTGACGCTGTGGGAATCAGAAACCTTCTAGCTAGAGGGATATGCAGACACATCCTGTGAAGGATCAGACAGTGGCTAGCCTGTCAGAGCATTATATTGTAAGCTATCATGCTTACAAAATAGTATCTCAAAAAAAAAAAAAACTGAGATTTTTTTTTTTTTGTGAGTGGGACAGAGAGGACACAGTATCTGAGGATATCAGAGAATTCATTTAAGTAATACAGTATAGGTGAAACCCAGAAAACCTACCTTGGGGGTTAATATAGTGCAGAGCTTCCACAAAACAAGGTGACAGTTAAAATACCAACTAAAGAAAGCAAGATGGCCCAGTGCCAACCAGTCTGTGTAAAACATACAGAAGTAGAACTAGGCTGGACAGGAAGTATTTTGGAAGTCATACTGGTCATCAGCAACTCCTTACTGAGGAGGAACTTGAGAATGACAGCTGAACCTAGTGGATAGCCTTGATATTGACTGCATACATTCACGCAGAAGAAAACTACAAAAAGGAATTCTACCTGGTTCCCATTAAGCGGGTGAGTTGTGTCATTCTCTAAAAATTCTTCTATCATTCATATAAAGGCCCAAGTTGAATAAAATATCTGACATTTTACAGAAAAATACCTGCACCACGAGTCAAGGTTTGTGCTCAGAGTGACTAAAGCCAGGGCAGCAGCCTTTCTAAGAACTGCCTTAGTACCTTTATTTTCATCTGAGTATCCTACAGACCAAGCAAGTAACTAGTATTACCTGGGAGTCAGAAGCCAGACATCAAAGGAAGGGAAGACCCATCCTTCCCACGTCTGGTTCCTACTTGTAACAAATCCATAAAAGTTTATGGATAGCTTTAGTACAGTCACTGCTCTTTGTACCACTTTCCAGAAGCTTACACTGCTCCATGGATTGGTTGACAGATGTGCTGTGCACACTCTTCATTAAAAAATTCGGCACTATATATTGCTTTATTTTGAGCTGTTTAAAACTCTGACTCTGCCAGCTTCCGGCTTTATTGTTTACCGGCTTAGTATACCCGCTCTGCTCCAATCGTGCTTCCTCCCTTCTCTCTTATCTGAATACCACGAAAGTACCCTTTCCTCTTTAAATCTCCAGTAACTACTCTAGCCCACATTTCTCTCCCATCTCAAGTACCATGTGAAGCTGACGTTAGTACTCCAGAGCTCAGTATTTAATTATCTAAATGTTTCATGTGTTAATTTTGCTTATAGAACTACACCATTAATCTCCACTTGTCATAGGTCTTATGTTATACATATCCCCCATCTTTTGCAACAGCACTTAGGTCCCTGGGGGATATACAATAGTGAATCAAAGGGAGGAGGTGATTCAACACGTGGGGAAAATGGAGGCACAAATTAGGGACAAGTCATTAAATATTTTTCCACTTGTTCCCTACGGGTCAGCTCTAGGGTAGGCCCAACATTGAGAAGATACATTCGCATGTTTCCCTTAGTTTCTACCTTTAATCTCTGTGTAAATACTCACTTAGAGGTAAACTCATCTGGATATCAAATCTTAGGTCTTCCCTTTAAAAAAATTTGCTATTACAACTAATCATTTTCTCACGTTAGTAAGGTTATAATATGCATACATCTTGAGAGCTGTATGACATCCCATCAAATGTGCAGACCTTAATTTCCTTACCCATCCCCTCTCTGCAAACAGTGCAACTCCCCTCAATTTATCCTACAATAATCATTAAAACATTTGCCTTCATTTCATATTATGATTCCCAGATGCAGATTTAGTAGGTCAAGAGGTAGTAACATTTAATACGTTGCCAATTACCTCCCCCCAAAGCTGTATCAATTTCAAATCTCACAAGTAGTGTGTAAAAATGTCTATCACGCCTCATACTCTGGTAGGCACTGGCTGACTATCCTCATTTAAAAAAATATTTGTGACTTTGGTAAGAAAAATGGTTTTAGTTGTCCAGTTTATATCAGTGATGTTTATTGGCCATTTATATTTTAGCTCGTGTCCTTTGCCCATTCATCTTGAGTTGGTTTTTAGTGATTTTAACATTTGTAGGAGCTCTTTATATATACAATTGTCATTTTTTGCGCAAATAGTTCTCCTAGTGTGTTCTTTCATAGTGTATGGCGTTAAGATTTTTTTAATATGATGAAATATAGTTTTTCCTTCCATTAAGATTAATTTTGATGTTTTATATTTTAATTCTTTAATCCACCAAGAAATTTTGTAAGTTATGAACTGAAAATCTGTATTCTTTTCTCCCAAGTAATTAATTTTGTGGCACCATTTATTAATCTTTCCTTTATATACCTATAAATACCAAAACATATAAAGATGTGGGCATTCTCCCTTTAGCACCTCCCCAATCCCAGAATGTGCATGCTTTCAAATCTTTTTATGTACACATTCACACAATATCTTTGAAAGTAAATGTGTACCATATACATGTGACTATGTATGATGCATTTACTTAATTTGTCTTGACAAAAGTGAGATACATATTGCTCTGCACCTTTTCTCACTTTATCACGGGCATCTTTCCATGTTCACACACACCTAGCTCATTCTTTTTTTTGCTGAGAAAGATTCGCCCTGAGCTAACACCTGTGCCAATCTTCCTCTCTTTTGTATGTGGGTTGCCGCCACAGCATGGCTGCTGATGAGTGGTGTAGGTCCGTGCCCGGGGAACCGAACCCAGGCTGCTGAAGCAGAGTGCACGAACTTAACCACTAGGCCACAGGGCCAGCCCCCTAGCTCATTCTTTTTAATATCCATATCATTCTATAATATGTATCATAATTTAACCAGTCCCATATTCATGAAAATTTAGGGTGTTTCCAATACTTCATTACAGAAATGCTGTAATAGACATCGGTGTATAGATATATTAGAGCATTAGGTAAGTATTTCTGGAGGATATATTGTCAGAAGTGGAACTGTTCAAAGGATTTGCTTATTTACCACTTTGATGAGATAGAGGCAAATTCAATTTGTAAAGAACGGCTTTAATTTGTACTCCCAGTAAAAAAGTAAAAATTCATTCACCCACACCTTCAGCAACACGGGATGAACATCTTTTTGAAAAAGATTTTTTTTTTGCCAATCTAATATGTAATAACCTATTTTATTTGAATTTGTGATCCTGAGCATCTTTTCATACATTCATATGTATCTTTTTCTTATATGAATATTTCTGTCCCCTTTTCTACTAGGTTGTTTGCTTCTTTTACTGATTTCTAATTATGAAGTACTAAGTTTTTTCAGTATGTTGGAAATATTTTTTTCCAAACTGTCATTTTTTTTCTAAGTGGGTCTGTATGTATATATATAAATATACATATCACACAGACGAATGTGCCAATCTTTTCCTTTGTCAACTTTGGCATTTATGTCATGCCTTGGGAAAATGCTCCTAAATCAATATTCTAAAAATGATTTCCTATATTATCTCTTGTATTTTTATAGCTTCTTCCAAGTATATAAGTAAGTTTTCCTAATATTAATTATTAAAGAGTCCATCCTTTCCCCACTGATCTGAAATGCTATTTTATAACATTCTAAATTTCTAGAGGTATATGGGTCTTTTAAGGTACTCTCTTCTCAATGATTTCTGATTGATTTTAAGAAGTATCACTGTTTCTAGGTCATCTGTTCTGTCAGTGATGTCTGTTCTCACATCAGTATCACCTTGGTTTAATTATCATAGTTAAGACATAAATGTTGCCCTAAAATAACACTTGTAAATGGGTTCAAGGATGTTGGATGCAGTATTATTTGAAGTAGCAAAACACCGGAGTCAACCTAGAAGACCATCAATAGTGATTTGGCAAAATAAAATGTGATATATCCGTAATATGGAATATCAAACTAGTTAAAGTAAAGGAATGCCACTTTGAAAGGAATCCAACAGAACTCTATGAATGGACATGAAGACATCCAAGACAATTTGTTGAATAAAAATAGCAAGTTGCAAAACAATGCCTATAGCGTGACACCAAATTTATGTAAAAGAAAACACAAAACAATATTTTATATATATCCAAATACATTTTTTAAACAGGTACATAGAGATCTAGGAGGAAATAGAACTGATAATAGTGGTTAACTCTGGGGAGGGTAAGAGAATTGGGGGTGGTGAGAAAAGGAAACCTGAGCCTACTCTGTAATATTTCAACTTTTTACATTACAAGGAGAATGTATTCACGTATCAATTATGTGACTAAAAATTTATATTAAAATACATATATTTAAAATTCACAATGATTTTCTGACTTATTCTTATCCACGAACCTCACACATAGCTGGACAGTTCAGTTAATTATCACTGTGTATCGTATCCTTTGTAGGCATACCATTCGGACTGGTTTCCCTCCTTCTAGGTTCTGCCCATCCTCAGAGGCTCAGGTCAAGGTTCTTTTCCTCCTTGAGGCTTTCTCCATTTCAGGCTACCCTGGCCTTTGCCTTCTCTGAGCTCCTATTGGCCCAACAGTCCACCTCCCTTCCTTTAGCCCTTAAATCATTCTCCAAATGGTCTCCTGTAAAGGGATTTTGTGCCTACCCATCTATTGCATCTTTTCCACCAGGGCAGTGCCCTCCTCTGCAACCTAGCTTTCAGAAGGGAGAAAAATAAGAAAAATATAGTGACTCCATGGGAAAATGAAGCTGTCAAGAGAGTGAAAAACATTCCTTCATCTCCTCATGCAAGTGATGGACCATTCAGGAATGCAGACTCCAAATGCTAACACCTTTGTGTATGGGTGTGTTACAAATGAGTGTGAACAACATCTACAGTTTGTTGGAATAAACCTTTAAATGCACATACACCCTGTTAGTTACATTTACATCAATTCTCTCTCTTCTCTCGATCTTGGAACACTTCCTTTATGTTTAACAGACATTTTTGAGTCCGAGACAAAGAAGGAATGATATAAAAGCTGTTAGACTGAATATGGTTATTATTTGCTAGTTAAAATTATAGCTCCTGGAAATTCCCTTATAAATAAATATGATCAATATACTCAAAATCTTTCTAGATTGTTAGGACAAGCCAGAAGTCATAATTTCAGAATTCAGTTCTAGTGGTAACTGCTGCTTCTGGAAAATCAGGAGAGAAACCAAAAGTATTATTATTTTTTTACAATTCCAAAAAGTATCCACTGCTTTTAGAAGTGTAAGTGTGCATGTGTGTGTAAAACAGGATGTACCAGAAAGACTAACAGAGCCATAATTATTATTAAAGCAAACACAGTGCCAAGCACTGTCCTGGTACTTTACATATAATCCCCTTAACAATCCTATGAAGTAGGAACTATTATTATCTTTATTTTATATACCAGGAAATTCAGGGACAAAGTGTGTAAGCATCTTGCCCAGGATCACGTAAGTGGCAGAGCCAGGATTTAAATTCGGTAAGTCAGCATTTGCTCTTAACCACTAAATTATGCTGCATGTGAGATGCCACAAAGTGAGAAAAACACTATATGAATGTATGTAACTAACTATAGGGGATCAATTGCAGTATCTTTTATCAAGGAATTAAAAACTACACAACCCTCTGTTGTTCAGGCGCTTTCTATACTGGAAGCACCAATGGACTTAGCTCCATCCTCCCCTTAGAATTTAGAGTGCTTTCCCGGATAGGCGCTTATTTATCTTCAAAATATTTCTGGATAGTTAGGAATGTTGTGTGAAATTATCTTGTTTGAGAACTGAGGCCAGAAGGGAGGCACTTACCCAAGTTTCTGTAATCAGGGACGGTTCTGCAATCAGGATCAGATCTTCTGATCCTTACTATATAGCAAACTTAGCTTTTCTGATGATAGCCTAGAAGGTCAAACAAGGGGACAGGACAGGACATAAAATAAAAAGACATGAGATGATGGTTTTCTCTTCTATCAGTCAATACATTTTATCACACACAAAGGACAACGGAGCTGATAAATAATGTACAAGTGTTTCTTTTTCCTTTCTTGGGGTTATATTTTCAAATTTATCGTACATTCATCCTGATTTTTGACAAAGTAATTTGTTTTTGCCTTTTTTTTACTTTTTATTGAGAATAACTTCAAATGGATAGAAATGTAAAGGGAATATTACAAACCTACCCAAATTTATCATCCAGCTTCAACAATTACCAACTGAAGGCCATTTTGTTTCATCTATAACCCCACCCACCGCTCCCCCCAACTCCGATTTTTTTTAAGTTCACTGAATAGCTGACTTTCTGTATTTTATTATGGAAAATTTCAAACACATACCAAGAAAAACAGAACATAAGGAACCCCACATGCCCATCACTCAGCTTAAACGATTACTAACTTAGGGCCAATTTTGTTCCATCTATACCCCTCCCCACTTCCCCCTACCGCTGAGATTATTTTGAAGCAAATTCTAGTCATCAACGTATTTTGAAACCAATTCCAGATATTTTATGACTTAATCCGTAAATATTTTCATACATATTTCTACAAGATAAAGACTATTTGAAAACATAACCACAATATCATTATAACGTCTAAAAAATCGACATCAATTTCTTAAAAAAACATCAAATATCGAATCCGTCTTCAAATTTCCCCGACGCATCCTAAGCAGTTTTTTTTTTTTTCCCACAGTTGGTGTGCTCGAATACGGATCCAAACAAGGCCTACTTATTGCATGTGGTTCATCTCCAGCTCGCTCTCGTTCTCCATCTCTCTTTCTCCCCCTCCTCCTTTTTTTAAACTTTTCAATATGGAAAATTCCAATCCTCGCTATTTGAGGTAATTCCCAATTAGCAAATTAATTCATGAGTAAAGATTTATATGTCTCTCTTATATCTCTAATTTCTTCTAAAGAAGAAGTTGATGGGCAGGAAAAGCACTATAATGAACGAATTTACATAATCTATGTTTTTCCTCATTCTGTTACGCGGGTTTTTCTCTCCACAATCATGGTTAATATCTTTCGGAGCCAGGCTTCGTATTAAGTGCCTTATATACACGCATATACAGTACACGCCTCTGAGACACAGGTCTCTGAGGTAGATACTATTATTATCACCATTTTACAAACATGGAAACCGAGACACAGAAAGAACAGGAGCCAGCCTAAGCTGGGCGTTGGCGAGTAGGAATTTGAATCCAGCTCTGCTCGATTGTGAAGCCATTAGTTAACCTTGTCTATATACACGACGATAAGAGGAAATCGTCAACCCTTTCTCCCCACCCCCACCCCGAAACCTGAAACGAGAATCCAGTTCTTTCCAGCAGCCGACGTGTGATCACTGCCGTCCCTCCAACCGCCATAGTAAAGCCAGGTTTCTCTGGCAACTGATATCCATAGGCAGACACGTCACCCTGGAGGCGGGCTTATGCCCTTCAGCCAATAACAATCGTCTCGTCTAAGTTTTAGAATGTTCCATTATCAAATGATTGGACGAGGCCCACCACGTCAGCAATGACACTCCACCGCAGTAAAGGCAGGCGCTAGCAACCTGCTTCTTCACGGTTAAGGCTTAGGGCAAGCCAATCATCTTCCTCCTTTAGTGCGGGCTCTGGCCAATGACGTTCGCCCCCTTAGGTTCTGAGCCCGCCCTCCAAAAGCGCGACAGTCGTTGGGTCATAAGTCTATAGGGCAGGGTGTTCACGTGGCCTATTTTCACGACCCAGAGTTCCGCTTTCACCAGAGGTTTATTTTTTTTTATTTTTTTTTTCCTGCACGGAGGCATTATGGGTTTTTTTTTTCCCACTGGGAAAGGAAGTGTCTACGTGGCCTGCGGAAACGGGATGGGCGGAAATGAGCTAAGGTTCCCGCGAGTGGGGAAGCGCGAGGTCAAACGTGGGGCCACGCCCCCGAGCCTCGCGCAACTCTTGGAGAAAAAAAAGGAAGAATGGGGGTTTTGACATGTGTATGAGTCGGGGTGGTGGGTGCTGCGGCCGCGTGGTGTGGGGGCTAGTGTATAGGTGCGCGGGCGAGTTTGCATGGCCTTGCGGTTGGAGTGTGTGCGCGCGCCAGTCCTCGTGGCGCTGCAGGTGGTGGGTGTGCGCAGGCGTGCGCCTCTAACGCTGGGGCCGGCGTGTGTCCGGCAGCTAGGGTATGCGTGCCTCAGTGCGTACGTGTGCGCGCGCTCTATATAGATGGCTCTATACTTTTGCATATGTTTGAAAATTGTTCTAATGAAAAGGAAAATAAAGTCAAGGCGATCGTAACAGAAATAAAGGGCCTTTGCTAGAAATATTTAGGTCTCCCCTATCGATATAATTTTAGACCCTAAAAATACACTTTCTTCCCACGTTTTTCTCCGTGCCAAAATCCTGTTTTAAACCATTGCCCTCCAGTGGTTAAGAGCCAAACCCTCCCATTCCCATATTAGCAATTCCAAAGAGCCGCTTCTTTCCTGTTGCCTAGTACCCCCCCGCAAGTTGCGTGCAATTCTCCTGGCACAAATATAATTTTATGCTGAGAATATCTATATACGACAGCCTCCGAATACTAGACACTCCGAATTTCTGTGGGGGCTGAAGCTCTCTTACCTTTTTGTCCTTAGCTCCAAGCACAGTGCCCTTCAGGCAAGTACACACTCAGTTAATTTTCCAGAAAGTTCTCTGGGTGAGGTTTATACCTTTTGAGTCCGCCACTAGATGCCGCCAAATCCCAGCAAAGGATTGGCTGTTTGGTCCCTGGAATTATGGGATTTTGTCCCCCCCTCTTTCTGATTTGCTGAACTCTTCAAACAATCCATAGGGATCATGTATATCTATCTTTGCTAGGGAAAAATGAAATTAACTTCTCGAAATACCCCTACCAGGCAGAGGCGTATGGGCAGAGAATCAAATGTTTTTCCTTATTTTCTTCTTTAAAAAAAAAAAAATCCCCCCTCCATCCCTCTTTTCTTCCTTCCTTGCCTTTTTTGGGGGGTCAGAATTCATTAATTACCCCAGGCACTGCTGCTGATGAAGATTGTAACCCTTTCTGTGCACCTTTTCAAATGCTCACCATCTCCCCCAATGGAAAATATAGGTAGCTGTTTAGTCAGTAAAGACACATAAGAACTTGGACCCTAATATTGAAAACTGATCTTTTCCTCTTGAAATTTTAATTAGGTATGCGTGTTCGCACCCTATTTTCTATAGTGATATTGCTAAACTTTATTATGTCTCTGGAGTCAGAGACCTAATTTTAAACCCCATTCCACCACTTACTAGCTCTGAGACCCTGGATTTATGTTTTGTGATTCTTAGTTTTTTGCATGCTTTCTATATTTTAGATGTGTGATATCCTTCACATGGGTATTCTTTTATTCCTCACAAAATCCTTATTAGGAGTACTAATATATCAAAATCAAACAACAAAAATTATACCTCTTTCAGTTATCAATCATATACATGAGTGTGTGTGTGCACACATACACAGGGGAGGGGGATAGAATTTAGAGGAGTTCTCCAAGTGTGTTTCCCAGACACACCATTAACACCATTATTATCTTTTGAAAAGTTGTCAGAAATTTAGATTCTCAGGCCTCACCTCAAACCTAGTGAATCAGAAATTCTAGGAGTAGAGTTTGGCTATCTGTGTTATAACAAACTGTGCTGGTGATTCCAATGTGCACTGAAGTCAAAACCACTGCTTTGGAGGGTGGAGATATGATGCTTATTTTTGTACACTCCGCTAGAGGGTGCTACAGAATGTAAAGCAAAATTATTTTTTTTTATTGAGACACCCTACATATTATCAGTCCCCTTTTACAGATTAAAAACTAATGTGTAAAGGTGTCAAATTGTTTTCCCAGTGCATACAAAAAGTATGGGAACCAGGATTTGAACTTTACCTGCCTCTGGAGCCCAAGCCCTTGACAATACTCTGTTGTTCAGCCATAATAGCTTGTCTTTCTGGGCCTCAGACTACATTACAGATACCTTGTTTCCTGCTTTGGCTAATGTTGACTACAGCGTCAAGAAGAAGGCAGGAAAGCAAACCAAATGAATGGAAATATTTTGATGATTTTGTACCCTTCCTAATCTCCATTCTATAATAATATATCACATAAAAGTTCATAAGTGTTTCCCTTCTTGCTTTTATGTTTCCCAAATGCTCTCCACTCTGCAGTTATCTTTTTGAGTTTATGTCTGAACCTCTCCTATGTGTGAGGAAGGAATCAGGGGGGTGAGGAAACACAGTTGCTGAAAGCCTATTATGGGCCACATACTCTATATAGCTCTCTACCCATTAATCCCAACAATAGGTTTGTAAATTAGGTGATGCTTATCATCATTTTATACATGGTGAAAGTGAGTTCTAGAGACTATAATTATTTTTCTTTTGTCATGTATGTTGTAAGTAGCGGAGCCTGGGTAATTCCTGGTATATCCAACCCTACTATCCTGCTAAACTATCTACTGCTAGGTTTTGAATCTGGTTTAGTTACTATTAATGTGACTTTCAACAAGTTCTTTAACTTTTCTGACCCTTAGTTTCACCATATATTAAATGGGAGCAATTATTCCTGCTTCATAATCTTAGAGCTGCACTATCTAATATGGTAGCCACTAGACACATATTGCTATTTAAATTTAAATTAAGTAAAATTAAAAATTCAGTTCCTCAGTTGCACTAACCACATTTCAAGGGCTCAATAGCTACTTACAGCTAGTATTAGTATCATATTAGATACCAACAGATACAGAACATTCCCACCATCACAGTAAGTTCCAGTGGACAGTGCTGATTTAGAGTATATAAGGTATGTAAAAGGGCCTAGCATAGTGTATATTTCATAGCAGGTGCCCAAGAGAAGTGATTTTCTCTGCTCTTTCAGCATCAGAGCTAGAGGTGTTCTCCTGTTTTATTGATGGGGTCAGGAAAGGGGAGTAACTTACCCAACATACTATAACAGGGTATGTGTCTGGCATTGGGACCCACATCTCCTGACTCTTGCTCCAATATTCTGTCAAGTAAACCCATCCTTATGCTCTACTGGGTGAAGTCTCAGGGCCAACGGTGTGAATAATGTGAATTAACTTTGGATTAGGAGAGTAGCAGAAAAAGACATAGTAACTGAATGCCTTCTATGTGCCAGGCAGCACCATGCTCAGCACTTTACATCTTTTATCTTAGTGAATCCTCACTGAAGTCCAGAGAAGTTAAGTACTCACTCCAAGTTGCCAGTGAGTAAATGGCAGAGCAAAGATTCAGAATTCTCTCTGACTGCAAAGCCCTGTTTTTTCCCATTATGCCATGCTACCCTCTCAAATGTGAATACTCTCTTGCCCCTTCCACTTACTAGTGGGAGAAAGCTTCAGCAGATTCCTGACTCTTAGTGGGTCCTCAGAACATACAAGTTACTCTTCTTCATCTCGGATTTACAGTTGAACCATTGTCTTCGTAATCGATTTCAACTGGAAGAGAAAGATAGTTTAGGTCAATGTTTGTTTGGCTTCAAGGCTCAAGGCCAGACAGAGACTATTTATGGTCCCAGCCTTCACAGAACACCAAGATCTCCATGTTAATTTTCAAGGCCATTATTTGCTCATACAATACCTTTGTGCTAATTAGAAACATGCTACCTGGGGGCAGAAAAATTGCAGAGAAGTGTTCACTTCAGTGGAAAATGAGGAAAATACTTTTCTTTCTCAAGGATGTTGAAGCCTTCGCAGGGCAGCTGAAGAATGAATTTTAGCTTCCACTTGTTCCCTCTCAATGGGATACCCTTGTGCAGGGTGCAACCTGCCCTGCCCAACAGTATTTGCTGGCCTTGCTTGTTTTACCTCGTGGCTAAGAGTCTTCCTAGGTCTGGTAGGTAGTGGCCAGTCTATTCTGGAGGGTGGAGAGAGACACCAGTGTCCTCTCATGGCTTCTGCGTGGTAGATGAAATTGGTCCATTCTAAGGTTAATTTGATATTTTTTTCATTTGATTCTGACTAGCTTATTGAATGATTTTTTAAAAGAATGTTTGGCTAATTTAAAAGTGAAAAAAAAACCCCTGATATTTCAAGTCTAAGCAAAATGGTATTTCTTTAATAACAGTGTTTTTCTATCTATTTATACCTGCCTCATTCCATAGGGATTTCATGAAACTAGTTCAACAAATTAGTCTGGATCAGTCTAGTTTGCTAACCCATGACAGACAGGGCAAATGATGAAAATAGTGATGGGAAAGTTTTATCCTTTTAGAGATATCTGTTCTCTTCTAGATCCTCTCTCCTCCTGTAATCAACCTCCCCCTGCCCTGACTGACCCATCCATTTGGCAAAAAGGGGTTACTTCAAATGACTAAGAACCTGAATCTAATCAATGTAGTCCTTGGGTGACCTTGAGGGTGCTGGACTTGCACATAATCCCTTGATTTCCCGTTCCTGAGTCAGTAGTTTAGCATACAATTTACCAAAATTTGTGATTTTGTGAACCACAGATTTCACTTGGAATTCATTTCAGGTCATCAGTGTTACAAATCAACCAACAGAGATTAGGCCTGATTTCCACCAGTGTATGCTGACTCCTACAATCTGATC